TCCCCTTCCTGCAGCTTCAGGTCTTCAATTCTCTCTAGTGACAAACTGGTTTGGGTCTAGTTCTGTCAGTCATGGAGTGAAGGTAAGATATCTGAGCATTTAGCACCGAGATAAGACTGTGTTAGGAAAAAGGGAAATTATATACATTTGCACCTGGAGGACTTCAAACATCTGGTCCCCTGCTGCCCAGCTTTGGGTGTGTAAGCTTGCTCATCGCTCCATCCCTGAGGTTGTATAGCCCAGATGTGTTGCCCTGGGGTAGCCTTCACCCCAATCTCGCCTGCCACGACTTTGTTCGTTCTTTCAGTGGTGGGGTCAACTACTAGGGCATATCTGGAGTCAGGAACGTTGGGGCAATGGTCTTCTGTGAGGCTCCAACCTCCCCTACACCTCGCCCTAATACCCAGCCTCACCGAGTTGCTGACGTCTTCGGGCCTGACCCTTGCCTCTTGATGTACAGGGCACTCTGATACAAATATGAAGATCTAGCCTGACCCTGAATCGAGCTAATTATGAGACCCTCTATGGCCTTACTTCCTACCCCTCCAAAAGTGGGAAACAGAACAACAAAAATTAAGAAAACACTGCCAGTAAAAATCCCTGGCTTCAAAAAAAATGGGCTCCCTGGCCTGGAGAATTCCTCTCCCTATTTACCCTGTCTAAGGCACCCCTCTGTCCAGCTGATATCCCTCCTGAGTGCTGAACGGGACTACTACTGGTCCCTCCGATTCAACCCCACTCGGTCCCTCGCCGAGCAGCTCAGACTTGTAGGAGCTTGCTTCCTGCAGCCCCTCCTGCTGCTTAGGCTCTCTGCTCCCCGTCGGGGTAGACTCCAGGAGCCTTTCCAAACCTGTGCCGATCCCACCTGGATTGTTGGGTCAACTTCCGTCACCCTCTCTTCGGGGCCATCTCTGCTGTTGACTTCTTCATCTGGAGTCCTTGGATTTTCTCCCTTGACCCCGTCGCTGTGAATAGGGGTATCCGCCACCTCACCACTGGTGTCCTCCCTCTGACAGCCTTGGGTGCAACCTCTTGCCTCACGGAGGGTCATCTGGATCCTCCTTGCCTCTGATCGGGGTTAAAAGGGCACCTCCGCTGGCGGCTCCGCTCCGGCTCTCCCCCTTTCTTCTTCCCTTGGACTGCCTTTTATTGTTCCGTGCTGGCTCCGCTCGTAATTATCCGCAGCTGGCCGCAGTTTCAAAAAGACGCGGCGGGTCCTGCCACCTCTTCCGGTCTCGCCGCGGCATCAGCTGCAGATAAGGGAATCTCCATTTCTTTTTTCCTTCCCTCGCCTTCCCTGTTGTGTTTTGGGTCTCGGGATTCCCCCTTGGCCCCTCGGGGTCTTTTCTCTGTAGTTTCCCTGTGACAACATTAATAGAAGGAGAGTAAATAAAGACTCCTGGGACTAGAGGATCACATCACAAGCCTTGGAAAACCTGAGTAAGTAAACTGCAGCCAGATTGTCGTTGCAATGAAATGTATTTGGGTGGTTAAAAGATGAGTGTATATGTGTGGGTGTCTTTGTTGTGTGTGCATGTGTGTGCGTGTGTGTCCCCATGTCATTTAAGAACTTGAAAATGACATAAACCTGGAAATGTAGAGGACAATGTAAAAGTATTAAAAGTGCTCAAACTGGGCGGGGATAATTAAAATGAAACAAAACAACCAGAAAAAACCTCCCCCCAGAACCCATTTATTATTTCAATTTTTAACAACTGGATATTTTCAAGCAAAACTGAGAGAAACGAAATCAAATTTTCTTCTTTCTCTCTTTGAAACTTTTTATGTTTTAATTTGAGTGTTGACAGTCTACATAAGTTGACAGTTTTGAAGAAATAGGAATACTGTGACAAAGTCTAGGTTTAGAAAAAAACTTTTTATAAGGAAACTTTCATGGAAACAGACCTCCGGCTCTAAATTCGAAGTCCGATTCAGAAGCCTCAGCAATGCTCAGAAGTAGCCCAGTTCCAAACCCCTCAATATAGTGGAGCTCAATATAAAATCATTGTGGACAAGGTCAGACAGGGTTCTTTGGGTAAATGTGATATCTTCTATTAGACCAAATAAACAGTTGGACCAATGTTTTTTTTGCAAACTTTTGGGCACAAACCCCCTTCTTCAGGCGTAGGGCAAGTGCGATGGTGTTTTCTGTTCTCCTGGATGGACTAGAAACCAGTGTGTAAAATGCAGGTCTGTGAAAATGCAAAAGCTTGATGGTGAGGATCAGAGGTGAGTGGAGACAAGGGGTGGCAAGGACAAGGTGACACTTAGATGCTACTCGTAGCTTGGCTGTATGCATCTGGGAAGAGGAAAAGAGGCTGAGTTAGCATTTTGTTGAGCGCTGCTCTACCAGCTAAACGCAAATGCTTTAAAACACTGTGTTGAGAAAACACAGATAAAGCAGCAGGTACTCCGACCCAAGAGAGGTTACAGTAGGGGAGTGGCCCAAGGAGGAAAATAGGACAACATGCCAGCTCTAGCAGGGCAATTGTAAAGCAGAGCAAGGCAGGCCAAAAGGGCATTTGAAAAGGGTTTTGTGAAAGAACGAAGAAGAATTCTTTACAAGTATGTCAGAAGCTGGGTAGTAAGCTGGGCAGTAGGAAATACTGGGGAGATGCCCATGTGAGATCCACGCTAAATAAATGCAGAGAGATCAAAATGAAGTGACAAGGGAGGAGGTTTAAAAGCAAATCCATAAATTAAAACAGTAAGCAAGTGACTGGGACCAGATCACATTCCCTTAGAGAGTTGTGTAGGAATTCAAATGTCAAACTGCAGGGCTGCTGTTCATAGCATGTCACCTAGCAAGGGCCCCCGTACCAGAAGCGTTTTGGGTTGACAACACAACACCCAACTTCAAAAAAGGGCTCCAGAAGTCACCTTGGGAATTACAGCCCAAGGTTTTTCACTTCTATCCCTGGAATTTGATAGAAAATACAGTAGGAATCAAATTAGAAGTCACATGGATATAGTTGATGTTTAGGGTAAGTGTCAGCATCATTGTTGTGAAGGGAAATTCTATCCCAAGCGTCTGCTGGAGATCTCTGGCAACATCACTTACCATGTGGGCAAGGGGGATGCAGTTAATCAAATCCAGTCCACCCAGTCCAATCCAACCCAACCCAATATGAGGAGCTTTTGACAAGGTCCCTTGCTGAAAGCTCTTAAAATTGACCTTATGGTGAGGGACTATGGGAGGGAACAGAAGGTCTTTTAATAGATCAAGACATGGTTAAAAGACACAAATCAAAGGGCCAGAGTAAATGGCCATTTTTCAGGCTGGAGGAAGGACAAGAGCGGAGTCCCCTGGGGCTCTGTGCTTGGGACAGTTTTGTCCTACATGTTCATCAATGATCAGAGTGAGGGGGTGCACAGCGAATTCCCAGTGTTCCCACAAGATACCAACTATCCTAGGGGGTGAAATCCAAAGCTGCTGGTGAGGAGCTGTGGAGAGATCTCACCAAATTAACCCCCTACTCGGTGTAAGGAGAGACTGCTGTTCCTGGGCCACTGACTGTTGCTGTAGTTCCTCTTTTTGCTTCTGTTAGGGAAATATCAAATGCAGAATTACTTCCTGCTAAAAAGAGAATATGGATGATTGTTTTGGAAATGCTGTTTCTGATGGTTCATAGGTGACTGTTTCAACACCTCAGGCCACTGTTCTTCTTTCCCAGCTGGTTCCCGGGTCTGGCTATATCCCATCAGTGTGCCAGTTTGCTGAGGGGAAATGATTTTATTCACAGTGAGGCCTTGGGGGAGAAGGGGAAATGAGGCAATGAAAGAAGACGCTCCAGTAGGCATTACAGGATCAATTGAAATAATTGTAAAATGTTTTCCTTTTCCCTGAAATATTGTTTTTATATGGCTTGGTGTTTATAGAGACATGGCAACAAGCAATGACTTTTACAGAAAGTCGCAACAAGAGAGAACCAGAAAACCTGCTTCTGACTGAACGGTTCCCAGCAGTGCCTCATGGGCACCTTTGACATTTTGGTCGAGATGCTACCGCGGATGTGAACTTCCCTTGTACATTTGTTGCTCTGACCCTGGTCGCTACCTTTGTTTTCCCTTCACCGGCCTTGCACAAGGCACCGAGGAGAACAATGTCCAACAGAACCACAGGGACAGGATTCCTCCTCCTGGGGTTTTCTGACACTCGGGAGCTGCAGATCTTACACTTCCTCCTCTTCCTAGCAGCATACCTGGCAGCCCTGATGGCGAATCTCCTAATAATCACAGCTGTAGCCCTCAGCCACCACCTGCATTCCCCAATGCACTTCTTTTTGATAAATTTATTCATCCTAGACCTTGGCTCCATCTCAGTAACCGTGCCCAAATCCATGTCTAACTCTTTATTGAACAAGCGGATTTGTTGCCCAAATGTTTTGTCTCTTCTGGATTCTGGAAGCAAATACGTGTCTTATCATGGTTATGGCATATGACCAATATGTTGCCATCTGCAAACCATGGCATTATGAAATAATTATGAACAGGAGAGCTTGCATCCAGATGGCTGCCAGTGCTTGGGCTGCTGGTGCCATCTACTCTGCAGTGCACACTGGGAACACCTTTAGTCTACCCTTCTGCCACTCAAATACGATCAGCCAGTTCTTCTGTAAAGTGCCCCAGCTGCTCAAGCTCTCCTGCTCTGACACATACCGCAGAGAGCTGGCAGCTCTTGCCTTTAGTGTGGTTTTAGCTCTAGGCTGTTTTGTTTTCATCGTTGTGTCGTACATTGAGATCTTCACCGCAGTGTGGAGAAACCCCTCCGAGCAGGGCCATCAGAAAGCCTTCTCCACTTGCATTCCTCACCTGACTGTGGTCTCCCTGCTTTTTCCAACTGCCGGCATTGCCTACATGAAGCCCACCTCTGACTCCCCGTCCCCTCTGGATCTCCTGGCAGCTTTTCTGTATTGTGTGGTGCCTCCATTGATGAATCCGGTCATCTACAGCATGAGGAACAGGGAGATCCAAGCTGCCCTGAGGAAAGTACTCCACAGGCTGATCCGCTCCAAGAACAGTATGTCCATGTTTCTTTCATGACTTTGAGTTACTTATGTTTCTTTTATAATTAACACATGAAATTACTGTTTTCATATTATAGTGGGCAGCCTATTCGCAAAAAATGAAGTTGGTAGGTTAATTCTGTAGCTTTGTATGTACAATGACACTTGATTTGGGTCATTTTGTGTTAACACCATTGTAACAGGAAAGTAATGTTTCATGCATCAATTTTACTGTCTGAGCCACCTAAAATAAATTCCACCAATTGCAAGACGATGAATAGAAGACTTTTGTTTACCAGTTGGTGTCATCCATTATTTGGATATAGGCAAATATCCAGATTCTGTGAAGTTGGGATGAACAGCAGACACTTTAGAGGACAGGCACAGGATTCAGATGGATCCGGACAGACTGGGAAGCTGGACTAGAAACAACAGGATGAAGTCCAAGGAAAGAAATGCAAGTTGCTGGACCTAGGGAAGAATCATTAAAAGCACAAATACAAGCTGGATTATAAGTGTCTGTGTGGCATACGCCATCGCTACAGCAACCTAGTATCTTGTATAGATACACGTACACCGGTTCAAATGCCACATGCCATGAGCGACATGTGCCCCTGGGAGCTGGGGGGAAAGGGTGACAGCCCACAGGTAATAGTGGTGGCAGTGAATGGAGAACTCCATAGGCAGCCTTGGTAATGTGGGGGGAGTGGTGACTGGTGGGCAGCAACCACCTGCAGATGCCAGCAGCCGTGTTGGCAGTGGCCAGCAGTGATTGGCAACCATCTGCAGATGCTGTCAGCAGTGTTGGTGGGGGTGGTGGGGCACTGGGAAGTGGCAACACCTCACAGGTGCTGGTAGTGCTTCTTTCAGGGGGTGCACCACAAATCTCAGGGGTGCACAAGCACCCGCGTAAACCCCCAACACATCGCCACTGACCTGCTGTGGGCACCATGTGCCTCAGGCTGGCCCCTCACATCTTATGCTGTGCACGGTGTTGGGGCTGGGTTGTGTTGCGTGTAGTGTGCAGGGCTAGAGCTGTAGACGTGGTGCAAGCACCAGATGTAACCAGTCCACAAAGCATGTTGCATGCAGTGCATCCACTAGACCACCCCTGTGGGCTTGACCTGGCAGATGGGGTCCATCTGTGTTTGAGACCGCTGGGTTCAAGGGAAGCTGATGGTGGAAGAAATGACGGGGAGCTGGGACCTGGGACCTAGGATGTATATGGGTCAGGGGAAAGTGGTCTGAAGGGCTGTGACATCCATGACAGTAGGTTCAGAACCATGTCCCTGCTAATGATTGCTGAGCTAATATTTTGTCAATGTGATGCCTTGCAATGCAACTTGTTTGTCTGAGTTATGGAATATATTAATTATATTTCAAGGTTTTTTTTTGGCACCTTACAACCTGACTTTTATTCTCAAGTTATTTTCTCATGCACAACTGCATAGGAACTAACTCTGTTGCAACTGGGTGGCTCCCTGCATGCTAAGGTGCCCAGTCTGGCTAACTGCGACAACAGAGCCACACAGAGAAGCTCAGGGCCTTCTCAGAGATCCCATGACTTGTGTTGGGAGGGAGATTAAACTAGAGCACAGCTCTGCTGTTCTGCTAACATCTGTACAGCTCAGACTGGTTACATCTGGGCTTTTTCTTCTGAGCTGTGCAGGACTCCAGGGAACGAGTCCCATGAGCCTTTGGAAGAAAACAACAGAAAAAATTGCTGTCTTGCTTTGGTCCTTTTCTACGAGACGGGGTTGAGGTCAGCTGCACACTCAAAAACCTGGTTGGATTTACTGCAGTCATTCAGTGACAGAGGGAGCAGAGAAAGACCTCTGAGTTATCTGTAGTTCTGGGGACCTAGACTAGTGGTTGGTGCAGAGGAGATCTGAGAGATCAACTGGACAAGAGCAAAGGATCTTGGCATGGGAAGCCTGAATGTGACGCAAGATGAGGAAACTCCCACAAAAACAATTTCAGTAAGTTTTCTGCATTGGTGAAGTGCCCTGTCTTAGTAAGATGCAGGGAAAATTTAAAAATATTCATGTTGGAAAACCTGGGTACACAAATCATACTGCATTTTATGTATAATAGATTCAAAACTACAAGAGTGAATGAAAAACATTTCACTGTTCTTGCTATTAATTCAGATAGAGTTATACAGCTTATTGGGAGTGGGGCGGAAGGTGGGGTGCAAATGGGACCTCTAAGGAAATCACATTTTCTACATTATCTTTAATTTCACTTTTATTTTCTTTTATGTAAGGTCTTGTGAGGGAAAAGTAGTTTATTGAAATAAATGTATCCATAAGGCAAAAAATGGAAGATCTACATTCCTACCATGAAATTTGGAGACATTATTGATGGGAATATGAAAGCCACTGAGTTTGTTACTCTCCCCCTTACCACTGCCCTTGTTCTCTTATAGACAGGACTTGCACGGTGCCCCGGGAAGGAAGATGTCCAACTGGACGGCTGTAACTGAGTTCCTGCTCCTGGGCTTCTCTGACACTCGGGAGCTGCAGATCTTACACTTTGTCATCTTTCTCGCAGCATACCTGGCAGCT